CCCACCCCGGGGCGTGCCTCAAAGCATCCCTGCCCGCCTCGAGGCCCTGCCTACCCCAAGGCACCTCGTCTCGCCCGCTTGCCCCTCGAAGCCGTGATTGTTGATGATCACGACAGATTCATAACAAAAAGAAGACTAGAAGAAAAACTAAGTTGCGCAGAGAGTAATTTAAACCTTTCATAATGAAGCGCCAAGTGTCTCGTTTTATCCCATCAATCTTGATCCTCTGCTTGTACATGGATCTGAGTGGTTTCACAAATTAATCAAGAAAAAGGAGATGAGAAAAGGAACACCTATAAAATCAAGGAACGAGAAGAGGACATGCTCAAGGCATTTCTGACATTTAAAATGATTACGTTAATAAGAATCTCTATTACCAATCTGGGCATGTTGAGCAATCAAACTCATAAAAATCATGTTTTTAAAATTGCCACTAAAAGGGATCAATGAATTAAAATGAAGACAACCACCCCCTTGCCTCTTTCTGGTTAGTTGATCCTGTTTATAGATCAGATCAGTCTTCTTATTTTTCATGAGAGCATGTTTTCATGCTCACACCATGTGGTATGGTGCACAATTCTGCTCTGGCTTTCACCTTAGAGCAAGCAGGTAAAGATTCAGAAACTCTGAAGGCACTAATTTTTATGTAGGACATGCATACTAGGCGGAGAACTTGAGGTTAATGACGTCCATTTTTAAGTAGATTTTCTTTTTCTCCCTTCTTCTATCCCCTTTTATAGCTTCCTCGTTATATTTCGTTTGCCCCCTTTTCTGGTTTTGCCATCAGTTTTGTATTATGTGAATGCCTAATATCCTGTGTGTCTGAAGGAATAGCAATAACTGTATTTTACTGAAATATGACAAAATCTCAAGATTAAGGGGATGCTAATGAAATGTTGTCCCTGATTTTCTTTTTGTGACAAAGCTATTGTTATGTTCTGATGACCTTCACCAATGTACATGTTAAGTTTCTGCATGAGCATTACATCGACTTAGCAAGAAAAACCAAACAGGAGGCAACATAATGTTTATTTCTTCTTGTCACTTTGTTAGGAGTGTTATTTTCCGTTGCTATGTTATTGTATTTTTGCCACTGCTAGTTGGTTCAGGCAGCAAGATAAATTCGTTGCCAAAGGGATCAACACGGCGTTATGGCGCAAATTATCAGTGTATGAAAGAAAATTACAGACTGATGACTATACTATTTAGGCTTTTCTGATTTCTTATGTGAAAATGAAGAGGGGACTAGTGAATGTTTTGGGCAACATGTGAAGGTGTGGAGTTTGTTATAAGTAGCTATCAATAGGTATAACAAATTAGGCTATTTTTGTGTTTCTTGTATTTCTGCTTTTTCATCTATTCCTCTGTAATTCTCTTCTCTATTTTCTTCAGCTTTTATTCTTCTGTTACATTGCCATTTTTACCTTTACTTTCTTATTGTATGATGTACTTTACCAAAAAAAATACTTGTAATTTAGGAATGTACATAACTCATTTGGTGGATATTACATTTCATGTGGTCTAGATTTGGCAATTGCCAACTTTTCCAGCCTAAGATGTTTGCTTCATTTATTGTAAAAGATTGCAAGTGTCTTTTTCTTCTCTAAAAAAAGAAAAAACCAGAACACAAAAAGGTCCATTTGATTTCCAGATGGTTAGCTGGCTTAGCTTGAATATAAAGAAATATTCTATGTTTCAAGCTAAATGATCCATAAAGGTTTTATTATTAATTCTAAGCACCAGGCATGATATACCAAATTCCCCATTCCTACGAGTTGATTTTTAGGTTACATATAAATTACTCAATTAATCAATCAATCAATCAACTAAGCCCCCAACCCTAAGTCAGAGGTTAAATACGAAAATGGGAAAAAGTAAATATTCAGGCTGGGGAACAAGGAACAATAGTTAAAAGATTAAGATAGATAATAAATAATCCTCACAACAGATTTTCCAATCAGCATCTCCGTGGTAAACACCCTTGTTGTGACAGTGAGCAATTGCAAGCTATAATCTTGAAGCAAAGCAAAATTCTATATATCAAGTTAAATGATCCATAAACAACCAGACATGATAAACCAAATTCCCCATTCCTACGAGTTGATTTCGAGGTTACATATAAATTATTCAAATAAGCAATCAATCAACTAAACCCCCAACCCTAAGTTAGAGGAAAAAGTACCTGAATACGAACAGTGACATCCGGACGGGATTCAAGAAGCATACCGATGTCTCTCCTCATTCGCCTCACAACCACCTCCCTCTTGTCTCTCAGCAATTTTATTATCGCCACCATCATTTTCGTCATTGTCTGCTGCATACACATACAAAAAAAAAACTTGATTTCCTTTATCCAAGAAGAAGTAAAATTGATAGGGGAATTGGGAAATTCACCATTTAGAGAAATTGAAGGTTCTGCAGAAGAGAGAAAAAGCTCATCTTCATCGCCTTAAGAAGAGCGTGTGTGATAATATTCGGTAGTGAAGAAGAGAACAGAGTTTTGTAAGTAACGGTCGTTTGGGATGAGAACAAAAATATGATTATTCGTATATCAAAATAATTTTAAAATGGATGATGACGTGGCGGTCTTTGGCATTCGTTTGTAGGGTCTTATTATGGACTTTAAAATTTTATTCGTTTGTAGCAATAATTTTAATTTTTCTTGTCCACTTCAAAATACAATAAATAATTATTCCAATGTTCACGTATAACCCAGTGGATCCAAATTCCACTAGACTTCCAATGCTAGGTCTTTTTAAAAAAATATAATAATAATTAAATGGATGATGTGGCGGTCTTTATTGACACGTGGCATTCATTTTCTTATAATATAAACGGAAATGAATTGGATCCGCTGGGCTCTGGCCCAAATTTGGTCCGAAAATTGAGTTTAAAGTGAGGTAACAAAATAGTTACATTTACAAAAAAGGGGTTAGATTTCAAATTAGGACATGACCACATCAGTTTCAATTATGATCAATTCTAATTAAGAACGTAATCAAATATACTAAATTCAACTAAGATTTAATTAAGATTAATTAATAAGCTTTTTAATCTTAACGAAATAAAATAATTATAAATTAATTAATTCCAAAATATAATCAACTAACTAACTAATACTAATTTAACAAAATACTTGACGATTTTTGAATATTCATAAAATGTACTAATTATATACATAATTATATGGCATCCGCAAGACTTTTTGTAAGCGGTGTCACTTTATATATATATATATATATATATATATATAGTTGTCTCTGCATACTTTTTTTGATTCTCTTCTGTTTGGTTAGAATTTAACCTTAATAATATGTCTGTACAGGAGAATCACTGATTCATAAGGAGTACTATATATACACACTATCGTGCACATAAGTTAAACCCTCATTATCACCACATATTTAACAAGAACGTTCTTAATGCAATGCGTTAAAATTTCAGCAACTCTAATACAGTGGTGGACTCAAGATTTTTGCTCAGGGAGTTCAAAGTATATAGAAGAAGTTCAGGTAGTAATGCAAGTGCGCAGTGAGCGTAGTAGCCCCTCAACATGCTCTTTGTACATGAACCATAGATATTTCATTGGTTCATAAAAGTAAAAGTTAAACTAATCAAAGATATCGAGGATAAAGATATATTCATAATAATTTTAGTGGATCAACCGTATTACATAAGTTAATTCCTAAAACACATGAAAATCAAATGATGAAAAAGGGAGCGAGACGGGGAAGAAAGATATTTACCTTATCATGCTAAATTTAACTTACTTTATCATACCGTATTAAACATTTCTTTCTACTTTTATCATGCTCCATCGAGCATTCTTAAATTTCTTGTGCTTTTTATACTTTTATTTTGTAATGTTTTTTTTTATTTTTCACTTTTAAAAATTTTAAATTAGCATCCAATCAATCACATATTACTATGAAAATCGTCAAGATTCTCTAAAAATGTGTAAGAATAAAGTTACTAATATTATAATGCATATTCAGAAGATAAATAAATAACATCATCAATTTTTTAGCTCATATAGTTCAATTTACTAGGTTAGCCATAATTTGTAAAAAAGACAAATAACAAATAAATCAAATAAGTTTAGTTTCCATCTCTCTAAAATAGAATTAAAAATATAAAAGAAATTTCATGAAATCTATAAATTAATATTCTTAAAAGGATGTTGATGATATTTATGTTTCTTCGTTCAATTACATCTAATTTACCTTTTTTTTAAAAAATAAATTATATTTCTATCTCAATTTCAAGTTAAAAATAATTCATCATTTTTTACAAGAGTTATTCAAGTTAGTATATGAAAAAAGAGTTACGTTGAAACAAAATGAATAATAGATATAAAAAGAATAAAAAAATAAAAATAAAAGAATGTGTCTAATAACTTTAAACAAAAACAAATTAAAAAGAAGAAATGGAATAAAAGGAAAAAATTATGAAAAAAGAAGAAGAAAGTCTAAGCCCAAAAGTTCCATTTTCCAAAGCATTAAAAAGAGGGGGAAAATGTTGTCCATGGGATTCAAACACGTGGTCAAGGGGCATTTCTTGAATAACTTATCCACTAAGCCAAGTTTGCACTTTGTTTTCAAGGGGTTCATTTTAATATATATACGCATAAAATCAGAATTTGACATTATATATATAGTGTAGTTTTTTTGAGAAGGGGGTTCGAGTGAACCCCTAAGGTCCACCTAGGTCCGCCCTGCTCTAATACAGGAAAACGAAAATAGAAGCAACTTACATAATACTAGAAAATTAAGAACTGAACTAACGTCCACAAAGACAACATAGCCTTGGAAAAAAGAAATACTAGCATTATCAATCCCCATAATCTTCCTCAGTCTCATGATATTTATCACATCGCCCGAAAAACCAACAATAAACACACACCATTAGCTTCTGCGCTGCAAGGTTCTCCCCTCGAGATGCTCCCTCCGCCTGGTGGTGGCTGCAAAGTTGAATTGCAGCCACTATTACAATAAACATAATCATCTCTATGCTTAGTGATTTTGCCATCTTTTTAAAAAGTTGAAAGTCAGGAGAATATAATGTGAAGGTTAGATTAGCCCTTGTGCATGAGTTAATTAGTGTCACTGGTATTTATAGAAGAATTTAAGATATATATATATATATTAGTCGGTGTAAAGCTATGTTGCTCGGACTCTTCAAAAATGTCAATGAGTGCATGTCGAATTCTTCAAAAGTAATGTAGTTTTGGAGAACCTGCTACGGATATGGCACCTGAGCAACTTAGGTGCAAAGAATATTTGACACTTTTAAATCATCCAAATGATATAAATAATTAGTCTTTTTAAAAATGTGATATTCGTAATTTTGAAAATAAGATAGATTACTATTTATTATAATTATATACAACCGAAATTAATTGTACTAGTTTAAAAATATTACTTATAATACCATTTTTAAATAAATATACCGTATCTTTTAAAAAATATAATCAAATACACAATCCCATTAAAAGTGGTAATTAATAATTATCCTAATATTATACTTCCTTAATTATTGGGACTTTTTACAATTCAAATCAATTTCTCTCTTTCCAACTCCATTGTTTCCCTCCCAGTCACACGTCTCCTTTGTATCTCTACCCACACCTACACGTTATTATCCTTCATCTTCCATTACCCCTTCTTCTCAACCTACTCAATGCATATTTTGGATGTAAAAATGCATACCCAACTCTACATAACATGATTCGAATTACTATCCAAAACACATAACGCATTTACACTACGATTATCTACAAGAGCTGCTACAGATACAGTCCCAACGTCACCTCCAACTTCAACCATGGATGTATCTTGGTTAAAAGATATTTCACCATTGTTGCTGCATCCAATTTTTTGCTCTTCCATTGTTATGCATAATGGATACAAACCACAATTGGATTGGTGTCTTTTCAATTCTATATAAAAAAAACCTCATACCCATCTCATTTCGAATTTTCATTGGAGTTACATTGCCTTTCATCATGTATCTTATCTCCATTCTTTTGCGTGAACAATCAATCCCTAGTTGTGTTGAAATACCATCGACTAGATCATTGTAGGTTGCATTCTCTCTCAATAGTATTCCATCAATTCTATAATTTGCGTAATCGCTTTCAGAGATCGATCCACGAACCTGAATGTCGTAACAATATGGTTTAGTCCTTTTTTCAGAAGCTGTAACAGTTTGATATCAATTAATCCACCTAATTCGTGGTTTGTTACATCCCATATTTTAATCCTTTAATTGTGGAATTAAGTTATAGAATTCAATTCAAATTAATTAAATAATGTATCTCTTCCTTTTAATTATGGTAGAGACACATATCTAACCACTTTTGATTCATGTATCCGACTGGAAAAAAATGGTATAGCAAGTAATTTAAAAATCTACCGGGATTCTAAGTAATTATAGTATAAAGTAGTGGGATTTATGTAGTTTGCTCATTTCTTTAAGTGTATCCATGAAATTGACAATGATACATTATCCACCTTAAAGAAACATATGTTGTACAACATAAAATACGTCTTTTACTCGGTAACAACTTCTTGATATGCATGTGTCTATAAAAAGGAGGTTATAGTTTCTTACACAAGATACCATTGTTGTTGAAATATAAAAAAATAAAATAAGGGACATGTTGTACTAAGTATAAGATATATTAGAACTATATAAGAAATATATCACATATACCAATTCAATTGATTGTGTATAAATACAAACAATTATATTTCTCTTTCAAAATTTAGTTACTCATATTACTTGCAAGTTTTAGTAGCGCCTATATCATTTAATTTTTTTGTACTAATTAACACAGGATACACGTGCGTTCTAGACTAGTTTAATATAAAAAAAGAGAAAAGGAAACAGAAATTCCCCAGAAAAATTATTTAGAAACCTCTCCCCTTTCCCGCCAACGACCTGAGCCTCGAGATTGTTCTCCTTTTCATCTTTGACAAAAGTACCCCTGCAATATACCCAAAACTCAGCCCATAACTGAAAGGTAGAAACGTAAATAGTCCCAAACAGAGTAACGGCGAGGGGCAGTCTTTGGTAACGAACTCTTCTGTGTATAACAAACTATAAACACAGCTTACGTTCCTCATTCTTCTTCATCAAATTTCCGATTCCGTTTTCTCTCTGCATCAAGAAACATGAAGTTATTAGATATGAAACTCCGGGCAACGAATGCTGTGAGAGCTTACTTCAACAGGAATTGGACAAGAGAAGACCTCATGAATTTCGGAGAAATTCCCGAGATCGCTTACAGAGGCTTGAAGAGGGTATATTCATTCTTATAGTTTCATTTTTTCTTTATATTTGATCACAAATGTAAGAATTATTGTTCTACTTGATTAAAATGTTGAGGAATCGAGATTTTTCTATGTTGTAATCTCGTTACTGATAGCTGTATCAGGAGATCTACTTGGAATCGATTTGTTTTACAGTTTCTGTGTTGTTCAAATAAGAATAAGCCAGAATTCTACTTGCTCTACTTAATGATGAATTTCGATTCTCTGAATATTTTACTCTTCTTTTGTACTTGATTATGCCGTTAGTGATAATCTGATAAAATGATCGGAGTAGAGTTTGGTATTGAAACCTTGCTCCCTATTCAGGCTTGAAAGTTGTTTTTGAATAGTTGAAATGAAATTGAATGGTGCCAAATGCTTTCAAAGTTACCAAAATGAATTTGTTTCATAGAAATTTGGATGGAGGGATTAATTTGCTTCATGCTATTTCAGGTTTCAGCATCTTGTGTTTGATCTTTTCTTTCTTTGCAAAACCTAGTTAGCTGGAAAAAAAATGCATTTTCGCTTCTGCTTCTAAGTATTGGATTCTCTTTTTTCCTGTGATTGATTAGTTTGCTGAAATTATAGGTGTATCTTACTCTCTTATGTGCCATGCTGAGCTTTACTTTTGGATACTACTTGCACTTGTTCTGGGAAGAGGTAGGGCCGTTCACAGTCCTTTCTTCTGTAGCAAGTTTACTCGGGCTTTACTTTACATTACCAATGGCAACGAGAGTGGTAAGTGATCTATGTCTTGTAGATTTCTTCCAAGTTGTTGAATTATTATTGAAGTCGCTTCTTATATCGTAAATGTTCTGTCTATGCAGAATCAAAGGGTCTCACTGTTGATGATTACTGCCTTTTTCTTCGGCGCTTCTATTGGGTTTTATACCAAATATCTCTTCGTAGTCCATCAAAAGTAAGAATCAGAAAATGCTAAACATTGTTCAGATATCTGCCATTGAAGTTTTATATGGTTTCTTTTACTGCTTTCTTGGCATATCATATCAGCAGGAACCTGATTTTTTTGTGTTCAATCGTGTACATAGAAAGGCTTGTTGTTGATTGGTATATACTTCTAATCCCATTATCCTTAGTAATCATTATTCATTAGTTCTACTCGAAATCCTAACTGGAAAAATGGGTATCCTTGTTGTCTTGCAGAAACTATTGTTTTCCATCTTCAATTAGAATGACTACTCTCTATGAGATTCTTTCATAAAGATTTGTGAGAACATGGGCATAAGAGTGGAGGAATTTGAATTTTTGTATAATTTCTGCACGCAGTTAGCTAAAATTGGCTACTAGGATCCCGTATGTTTTGGAGAACCTGGAATGTCTGAAAAATTGTGCATTAATGGCATCATCGATCACCTAGGCCTTCACAGTTCAGAAACTCGCATTCAGCTTAGCATATGAATGAGAAACATCAAGCAATATGACGAGCATTGGGTGTTAGAATGTTGGTCTGTTGTTAGGTTATAAGCTGATGACTTGTACTTCAGATTCCTATTTCATGGATTTAGGGAACTTGACTGGATTCATTTAGAAAATTGTATCTTACAATTATCTTTCATGTAGTATATGTTATAGCACATAGAAATTTGACAATATAATGACCATATTGTGAAAGAGTTCTGCATTTGCACCAAGTATGGCTCATGAATGAGTGAAATTAAGAAACATGACCAAATTATGAAGAGTGCACTTTACATAGTTTACCACTGATTCCTGAAGTCTTTTCTAATATGACAAAAGACATTTGCTTGCTCTTTCAGTTCCTACATTATATTGCATCTTAATGTGAATTCAATAGTAGTTACTTTGCTCCTTCTGTATGTGTAGTTGATTAGATCTTATTGTTATGTGTTCCTTATCTAACTTCAGAAAGCATTCCTTGGTTGCTCTCCAGCCTTGTTTTCAGCTCTTTGGCAGGTTCAATAATGGGCACTGGAATTCTCTGGTTTGGATCCTTATTATCAAGGGAAAGGAGAGAAATCTACATGGCTTGCCTGGTTCATTCTTATGCTCTAATGTACTCCAGCTTTATGTTGAATGCTTTAGATGTCCTTGACAGCCACACAGCTCATTGTGGGGTCCAGTCCCACTATCCCTTTTTTTGGTGTCAACAATTGCTGCATGCAATTGTCAATTGTTGGCAAATTGCAATAGCAGCAATTGTTGAAAAACACAGCAATTAAAAATGCTTTCGGTGGCACAACTTTGACATACTATGTATAGGGTTGAAATTTGCAGTTGCAAATTTCTTCTATAAATAGAGAGCCCTTTGCTCATTCCTAGACACACCAATTCACAGAGAGAGTAAAATATTTAGAGAGCTGTGAGGTTTCCATAGACTATATAAGAAAATAGTCTGTGAAGAAAAATAGAGTGTGAGCGATATTTTAGTAAGGTGGAAATCAAAAGAGTGTTATTCTTTTTGAGTGTGTTGTAGTCACTTTGAGTATTGTATTCGTGACTACACAGTGTAAAATTCCTTACTATAGTGATATCAGTTGCTCCTCTTGGCCCGTGGTTTTTCCCTTATTTAGAAGGGTTTCCACGTAAAATTCTTGGTGTCATTATTTTCCCATTTTATTTCCATTACTTTTACCATATATATTTTTGTGCTTGTCCGTGTTTTCCCAACACTCATTGGGTGTTAGAGGTAAGCAGTTGTATGCGCACGATGTGACCACACTCATACTATAACACAGTTCTCATGTTTATAAATCACTACTTCTGTCTAATGAATGAATAATATGACTGACCTGATAAATACTGTTTCTGGTAGGTAACCACTGTGCAAGCATTGTTCTTGGGGTACTTGGTGGTATATAGCCAAGAGATGCTGTATGATGCTGGCTTTGGAGAAATTAACTTTGTCGATCGCACACTCACTGTCTTCTTCCATTTACCGGCTATAGTGGTCCATGCCGCAAGACTATACTGAGGTGCAGAAATTGAGTAACTCAGATGTACTTGGAACTATAGAATAAATAGCGAGTAGAATGCAGATGGTGAACTGTAAATCATGAAATGTATTTCTTTGTCGCTACACTTTACTGATTGAATTTGAAATTCGTTAGTCTGATCACTGATGAAAAGTGCTTTGTATATATTCCTTAGCAAATAATTGTATATTCTACATGTCGACTTTCTTGAAAATGAACTGGAATTCAATATCCTTATATTCACCAAAAACTAGCGCTTCAAGCAAAGAAAACAATAGAATTTGAACATAGTACTAATATATAAATAAAGAGAAAAAAACACAGTTTCAACATAATTCACCAAAAACTAGCGCTTCAAGCAAAGAAAACAATAGAATTTGAACATAGTACTAATATATAAATAAAGAGAAAAAAACACAGTTTCAACATAATTCACCAAAAACTAGCGCTTCAAGCAAAGAAAACAATAGAATTTGAACATAGTACTAATATATAAATAAAGAGAAAAAAACACAGTTTCAACATAATTCACCAAAAACTAGCGCTTCAAGCAAAGAAAACAATAGAATTTGAACATAGTACTAATATATAAATAAAGAGAAAAAAACACAGTTTCAACATAATTCACCAAAAACTAGCGCTTCAAGCAAAGAAAATCATTGGGTGTTAGAGGTAAGCAGTTGTATGCGCACGATGTGACCACACTCATACTATAACACAGTTCTCATGTTTATAAATCACTACTTCTGTCTAATGAATGAATAATATGACTGACCTGATAAATACTGTTTCTGGTAGGTAACCACTGTGCAAGCATTGTTCTTGGGGTACTTGGTGGTATATAGCCAAGAGATGCTGTATGATGCTGGCTTTGGAGAAATTAACTTTGTCGATCGCACACTCACTGTCTTCTTCCATTTACCGGCTATAGTGGTCCATGCCGCAAGACTATACTGAGGTGCAGAAATTGAGTAACTCAGATGTACTTGGAACTATAGAATAAATAGCGAGTAGAATGCAGATGGTGAACTGTAAATCATGAAATGTATTTCTTTGTCGCTACACTTTACTGATTGAATTTGAAATTCGTTAGTCTGATCACTGATGAAAAGTGCTTTGTATATATTCCTTAGCAAATAATTGTATATTCTACATGTCGACTTTCTTGAAAATGAACTGGAATTCAATATCCTTATATTCACCAAAAACTAGCGCTTCAAGCAAAGAAAACAATAGAATTTGAACATAGTACTAATATATAAATAAAGAGAAAAAAACACAGTTTCAACATAATTCACCAAAAACTAGCGCTTCAAGCAAAGACCTTCTCACGCCCTCGATTCCAATGGCACCCAAGGGTGTAAATCGTAATGCATGAAACCAAGTGACATTCCACATTGATTGTATCCTATCCAAGCTAATGTAAACATGTCAATCTATTCCAAAATAATAGAAGAAGTCATAGAAACTTGTTTCAATTTAAACATATGAATATTAAGGAAGCAAAAAAAAAAGAGGATGGGGTGGGATAAGCAATGGTAAGTACCTAAAATTTAAGATGGTAGAAAAGAAGAGAAATTGTGAATACTTTAACCAAATGAAATAGTAGTAAAAAAAACTTATTTATAATGAGATGTTAAGAGTAGTAGAAAAGACTCAATTTATTATGAGATGTTATGAGAAGTAAAAAAAACTCATTATATATATACATATATTTATAGTAAGGATGACATGCAAATATGAATGGAGAAAGTACCGTATAAATTTAGCGTTTTATAAATAAACAGCAAACAATTTTTTTGAGTAAACAGTGAGATTAATTTTATAACAATAAAAAAGGGAAAAGGAAACAAAAATTCCCTAAAAAATTTATATTCCCAGACCTCTCCCCTTTCCCGCCTACAACTGAGCACAGAACTCAGAAGATTCTTCTCCTTTTCTTTTGTGACGAAATTACCCCTGCGATATCCCCAAAACTCAGCCAATAACTGAAAGGGAGAGCCGAAAATATTCGCAAACAGAATAACGGCGAGGGGCAGTCTTTGGTAACAAACTCTTGTGTGTATAACGAACTATAAATACAGTTCACGTTCCTCATTCTTCTTCATCAAATTTCCGATTTCGTTTTCCCTCTGAAGCAAAAAAACATGAAGTTCTCAGATATGAAACTCCAGGCCATGAATGCTGTGAGAGTTTACTTCGTAAGGAATTGGACAAGAGAAGACCTGATGAATACTGGAGAAATGACTCAGCACGCTTATGCAAGCTTGAAGAGGGTACATTCATTCTTACTGTTTCATTAAAATGTTGATTATGAAAAATATTGTAATCGAGAGATTTCTATCTTGTAATCTCGTTACTGATAGCTGTATTTGGAGATCTACTTGGAATCGATTCATAATGAATTTTGATTTTTCTGAATAGCTTACATGGTATTACCGTAATTCTTTCTCATCTTTTGTACTTGCTTTACTTAATTCTTCAGGATTCATGATGAATTTCGATTTTTCTGAATATTTTACATGTATTACCGTAATTTTTTCTCTTCTTTTGTACTTGCTTATGCTGTTAGTGATAATCACACAAAACGATTGGCATACAATTAATCTTGAGTATTTTCTTTTGTAACTTCCTCTAGGATTTTGAGTAAAGTTTGGTATTACAGTCTTGAAAGTTGTTTTTGAATAGTTTAGATGAAATTGCATTCAAGCTTCCCAAAATAAATTCGTTTCATATAATTTTGGACAGAGGGATTAATTTGTTTCATGCAATTTCTGGTTTCAGCATCTTGTGTTTGATCTTTTCTTTTTTTACAAAACCTAGTTAGCTGGAGAAGATGCATTTTCACTTCTGCTTCCAAGTATTGGATTCCCCTTATTTCCTGTAATTGATTAGTTTGCTGAAATATAGGTATATCTTACTCTCTTCTTTGCCATGTGGAGCTTTACTTCTGGATCCTTCTCGCACTGGATATGGGAAGCGGGAGGGCGGTTCACAATCCTTTCTTCTGTAGCAAGTTTACTCTGTCTTTACTTTATATCACCATTGAGAGTGGTACGTGATCTGTGTCTTGTAAATTTTCTTCCAAGTTGTTGATTTATTATTGAGGTCGCTTCTTATATCGTAAATCTTCTGTCTATGCAGAGGACGAGGGTCTTACTCTTGCTGATTGCTGCCTTTTCCATCGGTGCTTCTATTGGCATATTTGCCAAATATTTCTTTGAAATAGATCAAGAGTAAGACTAGAAAGATGGCAGATATTTCTGTTGTTGATGTTCTATATGGTTGCTTTTTACTGCTTTCTTGTCATATCATATTATCAGAAACCTGATTTTTGTAGTCTTTAATTGTGTACAAAGAAAGGCTTGATGCTGATTGGTATATATACTAGTGATTACTTTATCCTTAATAATTAGATCTACTCAAAATCCTTACTGGAAAAAATGGTATCCTTGTAGAAACTATTGTCTTTCATCTTTAATTAGAATGACTACCTACTCTGGAAATTCTTTCATAAGGACTTGTGAGAACAATGGCATTGGAGTAGATGAATTTGACATTTTGTTTTGGAGAACCTGGAATTTGATTATACTTGGCATATGAATGAGAAATATTGAGCAATATGGGTGTTGGGATGTTGGTCTGTTGTTAGGTTGTAAGCTACTGTTTTTGGATTTGTAAACTGATGACTTGTACTTCAGATTCCAATACCCTGTAATTACTTATATCTTCCATGGGTTTAGGGGATGTTACCATTATGTGCATTCTTAGCTAGCAGTACATGTGAAGGAGTTCTGAAGAGTGCTCATAAATGAGTGAAACTAAGAAACATGACGAAATTATGAAGAGTGCACTTAAATAATTTTCCACTGATTTCCTGAAGTCATTTCTAATATGACAAAGACATTTGCTTGCTCTTTGAATTTCTACATTATATTACATATTAATGAATTCAATAGCAGTTACTTTGCTCCTTCTGTATGTGTAGTTGATCATCTCTTGTTGTTCTGTGTTCCTTCTTTGAGGAATATTTTGATAATTTGAAAAATATCTAACTTCAGAAAGCATTCCTTGCTTGCTCTACAGGCTTGTTTGCCGCCTTTTGGCACCTCCAACACTTGGCATTGGAATTATCTGGTTTGGATCCACATTTACGAGGGAAAGGAGTGCAATCTACATGGGCAGCCTGTTCTATTCTTCTCTTCTATTTTTCTCCACCTTTAATGCTAGTAATTCAGATTACATTGACAGCCATACAGCTCATCGGATGTTAAAGGTAAGCAGTTGTATGCATATAATCTGCTCACACACATCCTATAAATCATTACTTCTGTCTAATGAATGAATAATATGACTGACTTAATGATGAGCACTGCTTGTGTGATAGGTATGCATTGTGTTTGCATTGTTCATGGGATACGTTGTGGTATATAGCCAAGAGATATTGTATGATGCTCACTTTGGAGAAATTGACTTTGTCAATCGCACACTCACCGTCTTCTTCCGTTTACCGGGTATAGTGGTCCATGCTGCAAGACTATGCCTGGGTGCATAAATTGAGCAACACAGACAGAATCACAGAATTAATGCTGATACACTTGGAACTGTATAATAAATAGAGAGTACAATGCAGATGGGGAACTGTAAATCATGAAAAATATTCCTTTGTGGCTACATTTTACTGATTGAATTTGAAATTCGTAAGTGCTTTGAATGTTATATTCCTTGGCAAATAGTAATTGTATATTCTAGCGTTCCCAATTTTTTCACAAAATTTTAGCTACAAATCGGTTAGCTTTTCTCTTGATATCAGGTTTCGAAATTCCCTTTTCAATTTTTTTCAGTTGGTCTATTTTGCATTCTGTTGGTGATAAGCACTTCTTCTTAACCAAATACTCCTTTTAAAACATTTTAATTGTTCTAATAGGAAAACGTATTTTTAGCAAATACACGAATGATTTGTTATCTATTTCATTTTCTGGGAAAATATTTTCTCCATTGTCAAACACAACCAAAATACATGTCGACTTTCTTTACAATGAACTGAAATTCATTATGGGTATATTCGAGTTGAAAAGTACAACAATCAAATTAGAACTTACATATATTATTATTGCTAATAAAGTTAGAGAAAAAACACTTGTTCAACAAATTTCACCAAAAATTAGCGCTTCAAGCGAAGATCTTTTCACGCCCTCGATT